TCAGGCTTTTCTATAATAAAATAATATTACACATAGTATTGGATTTTCAATATATTACATTTGCTTAATTCCTTTAAACCAGTGATTCCCAGACTTTTTCTTTTAGATACCTCTCCTTAGCCCCTCCTACACCCATATGAAGACATCTTTCTTGGTATTCAGTATATTGCAAATTCTATAAAACAATCTAACACTGTAAACACATATGCATTTTGGCTTTTCTTAGATGCTATTAGATAATATGCTGTCAGACAAATATCCATAGCTATATCTTTACACCTACAAGCCTAGAACCTTGATCTCTGTATCCTGTCATGATAATGTTAGCAAGATACAAACAAATGTCCGTTTCACTTCAACAAACTTCAGCTAATGAAATAAAATAAAACCATGTATTCGTGTATGACTCTTATGTTAATTTTATTCTTTGTAAAGCATACTTTTCTTAAGTTCTTAAGTGTAAGTGACATACAGATTTTGTAATATAAAATTTTTTGGTTCTAATGTCACCCTACCACCCCCTTTTCTAATTGTCTCCTGTTGCTCCTCTTTTCGTCACCACTCTTGCGAATCCAAGTTTTAAACAATCATACACCCTAACTACTATTGATTTAATTAATTTACAATGAAAATGGTTTTGTATTTTAAAGGCAGCAGTATTTTCTTAACTGCATAAATTTATAGAAGTAGCATGTCAAATTGTATTTAGGTGAAAATTGATTCCAATATTTAGAAAATTATAAAAAGATTCCAACATTTAGAAAATATAAAATGTGCAATATATGGTCAAAATCCTTACAAATGACAGGTTTACACTTGTTGACAGTATCACTCATGTAATATACAGGAAATATTTATTTTTACAAATAGCTTAAAGAAAAAAATATCAGAAAAACTAGTATTGATGAGTGAATTGTGTGTGCCTGTGGAATGGGAGACATCTTGATATTTTGTTTAAGATTCAAAGCTCTATCAACCCTCCCTAATTTCTATGTTGGGTTGGAATCATGAAAACTAGCTTTTTTAATGATCCTGATATTAGCCAGACCATGTTTTTTTTTTTTTTTTTTTTGTTAACACTGGTCATTTATTCAGTTACAAGTTAATCTATTGAATAAAGATTAAATTTAAGCAGAAATTATTGCAGCTAGCAATTAGCTCTATCCATTTTGTGAAAGAAATATTCAAAATTTTTTTTTCTTTGTTTTTGGCCATGTTATTTTAACCCAAATAAATTCTGCTATTCAATCATTCTGGAACTTAATAATGAATTACAGTATAGGAGTGGTTTTACTTATTTCTTTATACATTCAAAGAATTAATTTATTTTGTCTAAAACAGACATGCTAGTATGTTTCTTGCAAAACAATATGGAAGTGAAATACATAGTTTAAACCCAAAAGTATTCTTCCATATTTTTTCTTAAAGAAAAAGTGTTGTCACTGATAAGCTCCTTGATTCTTCTGTCTTAACAGACCAAAAGTCATTAGTCATTATCTGCTTTATTGACTTGAATACCAAAAGTGCTACTCACATTGACCTAAGACAGTGTTTCTACTGCTCCTTATCAACCCTTTACATTTCTATAAAGGAAGATAGACTTTCTTTTGGTTCTTCTTTCTTTGTAGATATCAATCTTAGTTTAGTCTGGCACAATGCCAATTTGGAATTGCAAAAAGAATTACAATATAGGAAGATTGTACTGTGCCAATCTTGGGGGTGAGTGGTTTGTTTGCTTGCTTTGAAAATCATCATTCAAAATTCTGTTTTTTACCTGCTGGCCACTGGTACTAGTAGAAAATATATGAACTGCCTACCCCAGTTACCACAGCAGATGCTTCTTTCTTTATTTGTATATTTTGTGCTTAAGTTGTCTAATTTCTTATCACCTTATTCTCTGTTTTGTTCTCTGCTTTTATATAAGTAAGGTTGATGTAAGTTTTTTTTTTTTTTTTTCAAAGAATTGTGTGTATTATTATTATTATTATTATTCAACATCCACCTCCTTCAAACACAATTTTTTGATGGGAGTTATTAGAGGTCAAATGACAAGCCCCCTAACTACTACTGTGTTTCTTCAGTATTCTATCCGTTACTTAGAGGGTTGTGTGGTCTGTATTGATTCACTCTTTATGTGACGTATTCTTTATTCCCTTTCTTATCATCATCATCATTCATCTTCTTCAATCGTAAATAAATTTCAGGTGGCTTCATAATTCTTATTTGCAGATATCTTTTTATGAGATTTTTTTTCTTTCATTAAAACACATGTCAGTTTTTGTATATTCTGAGAGCTGTTTTCTATATTCTTTCCTTGCCTCAAAAGTGTAGAATCTTTATTTTAGAGTTAAGAGAAACACATTGAAAACGTTTTTTATTGCTTAGAGAAGAAATTTATCAATAATAAAAAGACTTATTGTAGATTTTAATTTGGAATTACAATTCTGTAACTATCAGCATATCAATATATAAAAGATTTATCAAATAATTACATCCAACTATCTAAAAAATAAGTACACATATGCAATCTTAAGATATTAGTTCTTATAATTAAGATATCCTTCTATTCCTGAAATAGATTTTATTATAAATTTAATAATAGTTTATAATATATATTATAAACTTATATTATTTATGTTATAAATATTCTTCAGAATACAGAACTGAGTAATTTTACATTGTTTAAATTTGCCTTTTTTATTTTACATCTAGTTAACTTCATTGATATTTTCATCTTAACTTCAAATCTTTTTAATCAACATAATAATCAACTGTAATTAGACAAATAAACAAATTAGAGGGTAGTATATTATAGCACAAAGTCCTATATTTATATTTAGTCAAAAATGTGTTCTGATTTTTATTATAGAAATAATACCAGTAATTCAATAATAACGAAGTTAATTGCATGAATGCTATTGTAAAAAAAGTATTATTCTTGGATGTGCAGGTGATGTAATGGATAACAACGCAGAATTGTAAATTAGAGAGCCAAGTTCCAATTCCAATTGGGTTCATTATATTCACTTATGCACAAATACTCTTGGGAAAAGTGTGAATCCACCTCTTATCCCCCCAGCTATGGGTTAATTACTAAGACTTGTATCCATAAATCATTGTTATCTTCAAAAAATTTTACAATCTAAAAAAAATTTTTCTGTCTTTAAATAACCTTAAATAAATGTTGATAAGCTGTAAAAAAACAAATCAATCAATCAGCCATTGCACACATTATAGAACCTTTATATAAAAATTGCAATTAAAAAAAATTATTGTAAATATTATATTGATATAAAATATGTGAATTATTGTAATTTAAACAGTAAGAAGATCTGGAAGCTATTCTCAGTAACCCACTAGACTTAGAAAAAAAATGTTACATGCTTTTGCAGCTCTGTAGTTAATGTATAGGTCTGCAGTTTGAAAAGTTTTGAACTTACTCTCTACTGCCAGGTCAGTAAAACTTATGGGCATAAGTTAAACATAAAATAATGAAAACTGATTTGAAACAGAACAGTAAACTCATTTACTGTACTATTTATTCTTATAAAATCTGTGATTGCTATATAACATAACATAAAGTACATTATTTTTATGCTTTCTTTACTTAAATTACTCATTAAAATAAAATTCAAAGTAAAGCCAATATTAGCATGTTAAGCAGAAGCACTAACTGATACTTTAATTAAAGTAATAATAATAGGTATCTGTCAGTCTTGGGCAACTATGGTATCTACTAAAGTGGATAGCTAATCCTTGTTGCAGGCTCATGTTCAACACCCATAAAGCCAATCTGTGCTTTATGCTGCAACTATGCTGAGCTAACATTAGTTGCAGATTGTGGAAGAGAGTCATAATCTGTTGTGATCAGTAGTTGAACAAAACCAGTACACTTAAACCCTCAGTCATGATGACTTGTTACTTTGTGCTAGCATAACCATCGACAGCTTCTGAACAGTTTTGTCTACCCAATTTCACTTACCAGGTTCAGGTCAACACATTGCTTAGGTTTTCAAGTGCTTCCCAATGGTGCTGCATGTTGGGATTATCTCTCCAGGCCAATGTTATCAAGGTCACCTCTTTAACATAGTGATCATGTTTAGATTTGAACCTGGGGGGGAAAGTGGTTTGCACAAGTGTTTACTCACCTGTTCTCTTCTCTTTGTCAGCTATTATGGCATGTTAGTGATGAAATAATTTTGTGATGAGACAGATTGTGAAAAAAATGTGGATTCATGTTTTTCCTAACAATATTAGTGCAAAAAGGGGGTGTAAGCTGTCTGATTCAGAACACTAACATTCTAACTACTTGGCCACACAACCATAAAGTAATAATAATTAAGGTTATAATTTTATTCATGGCAGAAATAATAGTGATTAAGATGTGACAGTCTCAGTGACAGTTGATGACTGTGACTAAATATAATTGCTATAGATATACTGAGATTTAAAAAAAAATTATTCTTTGTTATACTTTAAACTTGATAATAGTTGTATTGAGATTTTTGAATACATTTATAAAACAAACATAAATGTTTAAAAATACTTGTCAAACAAGAAAAGATTCTTTTCTATTGTTTGTTTATTATGGATTATAATGTTTTATGATACAAGGCATGCTTTCCTTCTAATAGAAAATTTCTAAAATTCTTCTAAAAAGTAGAAAAGAATGCTGTTTAAATGTTTTAAATAAGAAGAAATCACAAAAAATGCTAGGAATACTGTATTGTAATGAAACTGAAATAATTATCCTTCGTTCTACAACTTACCGTTTATCTTTAATAATCAGTATCAAAAATAATTCTAAATAAAAAATAATCCTTTGTTCTACAACTTACCGTTTTTCTTTTATAATCAGTATCAAAAATAATTTAGTGTAAAATTTTATATACAGTGTAATTCTTTTCTTTAAAAAATGTCATGCAAATATTACATGAATAACCTCAATTTCTTCTTCTTATATCAGGACTCCAATTGCTGATTCTGTGAAGCATTTAACAATGGACCTCAAAGGGTATTTATTCATAAAGCTAATATTTAATATTGTGCTATTTCAAATAATGAAGGGTTTTAAAGGATTTTCAATGTAATTCTATTTATTAAGTTTATATGTTGTAATTAACATGTTTACAACTTAAAAGATCATACTTGCCTTGAATAATATATATATATATCTCAGATAAATAAAATGTATACGATGTCCAAGGAAGAGTAAAGAACACATAGAACTTCAAAATGTATAATGTTAAAAAGCTACTTGAAATGAGTAAAAAAAAAAAGGAATAAAATAAATTACGCATATTTCTGATAACTTCAATAAATCTACACATTTTATAATGTTAATTTCTATTATTTTTTAAAGATAGGAGGGATTTTGCCCTTTGAATAATGTTAATATCTATTCAAATGTTTGAGTGCTTGACATTTCATACTTCACAAGATGTCCCCTCACTCCTATTTTTTAGCACCTTTGTTAACAAAGTTATGAAAAAAAAATACAATTCTGAAATTTTAGATATCTTTTTATAATTTTTTTTTTCATTTAGAATAGAACAAAATAACAAGATACTAATGTATGCCCATCATAGGATATTATCAGTAAAAAATAATCCTGTAATTGACATCAAAACTTAATGATACATTAAAACATTATCAATATTAGATTTCATGGTTCCTTAAGATTGCAGAAAAGAAAGTGAAATACTGAAAAAAACTATCAAAACATTACCAATGAATAAATGAAAATGGAACAAGAAAATAAGTTGTGTTAATAGTCACTGTAAAGGTTAACTATAGAGGTAACAGCTTGTTTGTTGTCTGGCAGGTAATGGGGGGGAAAGTGGTTTGCACAAGTGTTTACTCACCTGTTCTCTTCTTTTTGTCAGCTATTATGGCATGTTAGTGATGAAATAATTTTGTGATGAGACAGATTGTGAAAAAAATGTGGATTCATGTTTTTCCTAACAATATTAGTGCAAAAAGGGGGTATAAGCTGTCTGATTCAGAATTCAAACTTGGTTTACCAATTCTCTCTTTTGTGCTGGTAAGGTAATGTTATCTTACACCTTTAAAATAAGTAAGTATCTTGGCATGGGATAATGGTTAACAGGGATAATCCAATTGATTATTAATACTCAATAATGAGTGAGTTTGGTTCTCAGTGGGCATCCCATACAAAAATTCAACTTTAAATAACCTAACAATAGTTAACTTGTCCTAAAAACAATAAACATAACCTAACCTAATTAAAATATGTAGGTACATTAATAAGTGCAAAACCTAATAAATAGCTTTCATGTTACACGACCAATATTTATTTTACAAAATAATCTCTTTCCTTGTCAATGCACTTAAGCCAAGGTTTCTCTGTATATGTAACATTATACTGTGAACATTTTACATCAAAGTTCAGCTAATCTTTTTAACTGCACACTTATTAATCTGCCTTTGTAAGTTATATAGCTATAGCTTAAAGTTTACAGCATGACTACAAAAGGAAAACAAAAGCTTATTTTTTAATTGTTTGATTTAAAAAAAAATATTATTCTTTACTGTATCAGAATCCTAAGAATAACTCCTGAGATTTAAGAAAACTGATCAATGAACCCCTATCAATAAAAAAAAAGAATTATTGAAGAACAATTTTTAATTTTTTCCTAGTAAATACTAATTTGAAAACAATAGCATCCTTTTAGCTACTTTTGTATAACATTTAAGAAAAAAGCGTTTTGTACAAATATCAGAAAAAGATAATGACTATATAATTCCTGACAAACCTAAGTGGCTTTTGGAATTAAACAAAATATGATTTAATACAGAAATATAATTTGATTCCTTTACAACTTAGCAAATTCTTCATTTGTTAGCTCAGAGCTAGGCATATTTTTAAGTAGAGGCATTTAGTATGTAACCTAGAATATATTGAAATAGACAATATCACTAGTGTATCTATTCTCTCATCGTCATGTACTTAGTCTGCAGTGATTGAATCATGAAAAAATGATGTCATTGTTCATTTTTCGTGACTTTTCAATCTTATTCTTATAAATACAGGAACAAACTCAGAATGCTAACGTTTATCATTTTCAGTATTATTTTTGTGGCAGCTCCAGATGTATATGTGAGCATCTATGTATGTACGTGTGTATGTGTGTGCATGGATATGTAAGGTTTGAAGAGTTTATGATTTCAAACTGCCTCTTAGACAACCTTGAAAAGATTTATGTAAAGTAAATGATCTTTACAGAGTGGTCTGAAATTGAGATTATTAATGTTACTTGAAAGCCTTGCTTAGTCAAATTAATGAAACACTAAAAAAGAACTATATATTGTATAGTTAGGCAGCAATCCTTTTATACATGTTTTGCTGAATATGTCAGACAGGGAATATTTTGTGTTTTATTCAGTTTTTCTAGTGTCCTTATAAAATTGTAAGAACACAAGAAAAATTGAATGAAAAACTTATAAAATATTCCTATTCCATGTCCCTATTCAACAAAACATATTGTATATGGGTGTGTACAAAATGATGTAGAAAGGTAATATAATTTGATAATACTTTTGGGTCAGATTGAAAACAATTCATCACCTCCCACCATACATATGCAAAAAATTATATATATATATATATGTATATATATAGTTTAAAATTGGCTATGTTTATGGGGTTAAAGTACCAGGTATTTGAGATAGAACATTTGTAAGAAACCTTATATACTGGGTGTGATGGGTAAATTGTTGACATTTTATATTTTTAATTTTGCACATGTGTGTTGTTTGTTTTTGATTTTGTCATCTGCACACTTTAGTAGGGTCAGTTGGGCACTAGCTGTGAGAAAAAGAGCACCATGATGCAATTCATTCCACCAGAAATTTGTAAACAGCATGCTAAACTGTTTGTCATTCATGCTGGAAGTTCCCATACAAACATTTCAGAGTGTTTGAGTATCAATCTGAGGACAGTGCAGAGGATTTGGAAAGAATTGGCTGAGTCTAATGGTGATTATGAAGGTGTTTGGAGTGATCTCTGTTATGCCTCTATTCATCTTCCCACAGACACTCAATGCAGAGGCATACATCAAGTTCCTTGAGGAGGTAGTGCTGTCTCGGGTCAAGAGGGTGGCTGCTGAAAACCTTATGTTTGGCAACAGGACTCTGCACCATGCCACACAAGCAGGAGAAGCCAATCATGGCTGTCAGACAATTTCTGCAACCATATCACCCCTTACATCTGGACAGCTAACTCCCCAGACTGCAACACCCTTGATTATTATGTTTAGGGTGCAGTTGAATGAGAGACCAACAAAACTCCTTGTAACACCAAAGATAAACTGAAGGCAAGGATTATGGCAGCATTCACCAACTTAAACAAGGAGACTGTTCAGAAGAGTTGCAGGAAATTCTGAAGTTGTCTGGAGACCATGCTTGAAGCCAATGGCGATTTTATTGAATAAATTTACTCTTTAGTATTTAAAGATATTTTTGTGTAATTTTGGTAAATATATCTGTTAAAATGAGCTGTCAGTGTTATTTTCATTTTCCCTGTGTGTGTGTGTATACACACACACACACACACGTTTGTGTAGGGGTGAGAGGTATTAAGATTTTGTGTTAACACTGCTACACATATTGTAGAAAGGCATCTATGGATTTAACTTTATAATAGGAGGAACATGTAGCTATTATACAGAGTGCAGCAGAAATACCTCCTACGTAATTAGAGGCAATGGTGCCAATCTAGCTAATGTTTTACCATTATGTAGAAGGTATTTCTGCTACAAAAGAAAAACAAAATATTATCAAGATTATAACTGATGCCAGCACTATATTGAAATATCAAAATTACCTGTAGGATTATATCTGTATTTATTTAAAGAAAATATGATTATTGTATAATATATATTTAGGTATATAATTAGATTGTTAAAGGAATCTCTTTGGCATTTAATGCTTGACTTACAGAAATAAGTTGGCAGTTCTTTTTGGCTGATGCTTGTAAGGTCATGTCTGTCTGTTTTATAAAAATGTTTTAAGATTGTAATTTGATAAAGTTGTATCTGATTAAAATATCACATATTATTTCCTTGCTTTTTGTCCAAGGGGGTGTTGAAAAATATTTAAGAAGATATCTCAGTTTTTCTTTTTGTCATTTTTACCCTTTTTTACAAGAAAATATTTAAGATATCTCATTCTTTTGGCAATCTCGTTTTATATTACTAAAATGTAAATATGCATATTTCTCTGAGTCTAGATTTTGAACATATTCATATGAATATTATAATTTTATATAACATGTTTGGGACAAAATGTGTATGGTATTATACAAACACATATGAAAGATTTGCTTATAACTTGTGGCTTGAAAATAGCTGAAGGCTATTGTATGTAGTTCTTATGTTAAGCAGGTCTGGCCACTTTTGTTTTATAACAATTATGAACATGACAAGATATATAAAATTACTTAATGCATGTACACACACACACACACACACACACACACACACACACACACACACACACACGTGCAGAGGAAATCACTTATGATCATTTTGAGCTAGTCCCTTTTAAATAAAATAACCAGCTGATAACTTTATGTAAATGATGTAAAACATGGAACAATTTACATTCATTATTGTAAACACTAGTACATATAAACAATTTATTGGTTTTAAATTATTATTTTTAATTAATCTTCAGACTAACTGATTTTGATAACAAATGTTTGATAATATTATCTTTATTGATAATAAACATCTTTCTCTATATGTTAGTTTATATATGTATATTTTTTGTATAGCTTCTGTAAGTCATTTTTTGGTCATGATCCAGCTTTATTTTCATTGTTTAATAAGTAATTTCAAAAGGAATTAGCAGCATATCCAATGCTTTTATTATATTCTTGTTTTTTCCTTTCTTCCTTAAGTAAGCTATTTTTCAACAAAAATAAAGATGCAAATTTTCATTTTTAGCTTAAGATATTTACTTATATCATCACCTGTGACCTTTGATTGCATC